AACTACAATTTCATAGATAAGATCACATTTGAAAATTTAAATTTATTGTCAAGCGTATATACAATTCGCATAGAAGTCTAGATTCACAATCAAGATGAAATTCATATTCAAATTGCCACTCGGATCCATACAAGATGTTGGTCTATTTTAAAATTCAAAATCAATTTCTAATAAAGATTCAATTTCAGGAACAATCTCATACTCAAATTCAATTTAAAAATGAGTTATAACACTGAAAGCAATTGAAATTTATTTTCAATAAAAGATTTGATTTCTCTAGAGATTTCAAGATCTAATATAAACTTTGTCATTGAACTGACGTTCACAAATAGGTTCCAATGTAAGGTGCATACTTAAATTTCACAAAAAAATACTCCAATTTCAATTGTAAATTAGAAAAGGATGATCATGAACTATAACTTCTTCTATAAGAACACAAGTGAAAAATTAGATTCATAATGAAGAGTATATTCACTTTCACATAGTAGTCCAAAATCACAATTAAGCTAAATTCTTAATCAAATTGCTACTCAAATACATATATGATTGTAAGACCATGCTTTTTATTCAAAATTAATTTATAATGGATGTTTAGATTCAAAATTCATCACTTACTCAAATTTCATTTTAAATATAAGTTTTAGCATTCATTTTAAGGGCATGATTCAACTTATCTTGGAAGTTCAAATTCTAATATAATTTAATGCACAAGTTTGATTCATACACAAAATTTTGCATACATTTTAAAATAGGTTCATTTTCATTAATAGCTTCAAATATACGGGTAAAAATTCCATGACATCAAATAATCTAATTAGGATTGTAAATTTTCATTTAATGTATCTTCAAAAGGATATTAACAATTTTAATATTTTTTTGATAAAACTAAATTTTACTATGCATGACTCTCATGCCGTTACAAGTTTGACATGCCTTAAAGAGGTAATGGTTTCTCTTCAAAGATTTTATAGCTAGATATAGTAGTGTTCTAACAAAATGACTATAATATACCTTAATAAACAAAATATCTAGGTAAAGACTCAGTGTGTTTGGTGACTTAAAGCTTAATTCATTCCTAATTTCTTTTCTAAGACCTCTAATGAGACGTGTAATGGTAGCAAAGTGGTCTCGCCATAAATAATATTTAGTTACAAATATCACTAACCTATCTATCCAAATATTCAAGCACACCATATTTATCATTTTTAAAATGTATAAATTTTCCATTCATTTTACCCCTATATTTACTAAAAAATAAAGATTACCTTCTAAACTTATGCTTTGATTTCTTTATTTCATCTCCTTGGATATCAAATAGATAGTATCCTTTAATGAAATCGTTATAACCATGAATCCAACTTGAAATTCCAAAAGGCCATAACTCATGTTGAAAGTAGGAAAATAATTTTAACATAATAGTATGTTGTTGTTGTATTGAGCCGTAAGCACCGTGATTTTGTTTAAATTGCATCATTTATTGTTTTGTTATTGATCTAATTAATAAGTCATACTTCTAACTAACATGATAATGCCACGATAAGCTCTAATATCAACATGATGCAATGTCTTCCAGTTTAATAATGCAAAACATAAATAAGCTGCAATAAAAAATAAAAAAATAAAAACATAGAAAATTATAGTTTACAATTTCTCAGCTCACTTTAGGCAATGTTTAGCTTCTTTTAATGCCACACCAGAAACACATTTAATTCACTCCAAATGATAAGCCAAAAGTCATCAAAATCTAAAATTTCATAAAACTTAAAAATCAGATTGAATAACTCAATACATTGATTTAGAATGCAAGCAATATAAATAAAAACAAGTACATAACCAATCAGATCAATTCTCAAAATTACACATGCAACACCACTCACAAAAAAATTGGACAAAAATAACAAGCATATAACTAAAAAAAACTGAAAATTTAAGCCTCATGTCGAAACAAGGAAAACATTCATTCTCAGTTGTCTTCAAGGCTTGCATCAATCTAAAAAAAATCAACTTCGACTAATAGAAAATTTTAAGAGAAAAAAACATGAATTTTATCCAATAATTTGTATCATAATGCATGTTTCAATGATCATATTGATAACTCAAAAAGATCCAAAATCCATAATTTCATAAAATCTCCCAAGATCTAGTCAAAAACAAGTTTCAAATATAGTGATCTCGGATTAGTACAATTTATGAATTCAACCTTAGCCACCAAAAACACACAATCTTTCTACTTCCTCAGAAAAATCACATAGAAGACAACTAAAAGTAGCTAAAACCCTCAGGCACATAAAATAGAGAATCCCAAATCATTGGTAAAAGAAGATTTCACAGAAATCACAAGAAGTATACTTTTGAAGAGTTATTATAACCAACGTGAAAATCCTGGAACTACTGCATTTATTTTGTTAAATTCGATCAATTTCCAAATACGCTACAAAAATGGCTATCAAAGTCGCTGAGTGCCACTGCCCGCTGAACACCTACCTCGGCCAAGTTTTGCACTTATTTCATATTATAAAATGTAAACTACTGCATTTATTTTACACCAACCAAACAACTCAAAAACATTCCAAATACACATTTCTTTTACACTACACAACTTTTTCAAGAAACAAAATAGCCCCTTTATAATTTTCAAAGTCATTAAAAATATTGACAAATGTATGGAATTTTAATATGTTACATTAATACTCTAGAAGGATTATTACTATCTACCTCAAATGCATTTTAAGTACATATATATATGCATGAACCATACATACAATTACAAGCTCATGTAAGTGCACATGAATATGATAAGTTTCATCTCACGCAGTATCCATATCCACGTGTTTAAGATTTGGAAAAATCTCATATCCATATGATATCCTACATGACCTAACAAAAAATTAGTTTAAGGTGTATGTGAATAGTCCTTGTTTAAGGGAGCTAAAAATTAGTCTTCAAAATAATGACTTGCTTGATTAAGAAAACAATACACCCTAATCGTTCTTTCATGCACTAATGCAAGCTTTTTTACAATTAAGCATCACTTTAATAAATAAATAATCCCCATTTTCTGCATCATCAATATGCTAACTATTTGACTCAATTTTCCTATTTTTTTAGTTTCCACTCTTGTGAAAACCATTGCAATTTATGCAAGCGTTAGTGGGAAAAGCCTTAACAAGCTTGGTTGTCAAGGATTGCAAAAAAATTTACAAATGAATAGCAAACAAGTACATCTTGGGAGAACAAGTATGATAAAAAATACAAACACATCTACGTCAAACAAGGAGCTGAATTCTGGTAGGGAATCAACTTCTCACCAATCTAATTACTCAAATGCATTCAACTTCATCCACTTCAAAATCATATTCAACCAAGTTTCCAATTAGACATGGCCTAACATGGAGTTGACTATGACAAGAAAATCACCTTATCACCAATCTGGTTACACAATTAAATTCAACTACATCCATTTAGGAACTATGTTGCATGCATGCACATGTGAGTTTAATCTATCCAATTAGGCACTTATTTCAACAACATGATCTTCACAATAATATAAAACCATCAAAGTTATAGCCCCTTAATTAAAACCGTGCAAACAAAAAGTTAAAAAAATTTAATATCTGGTCAAAGATCTCAGGGAAAAAAAAGATATTTTAAAAATCATGGTTTTAAAATTGAACCGAACTTGTCGGTTCGATAGATTCAATTGTAAACCGGTCATTCAATGATTCTGCTCAAGCTCAAAGTTATTTTTGCATAAAACGAGGGCTGAGCCGGTCAGAATCGAAGTTGAATAAGAGAATCGGTGAGCCCGCCCGATTTTTAAAGAACAAGACAATTTTAAAATTGTTCAATTTTAACAATTTTATTTTGATCATGGCTAGAAATAAGATATTTAAATTAAAAATGAAGAAAGTATCGTGTCTTAAATTTTTTATTTATAAAATTATTCAAAATTTGCGTGTATTAAAATAAATTATTATTTATGGAATCCATAACGATAATAATATTAGAATTTTTATATTATTTAAATTATATTAAAATAATTTTAATATTCATTACATAATTTGGTTCATTCTCCGATTCAATGCCAATTGAAAATTGAACCTGGAACATCTCCTTTCAATTTGCAATCCAGTCTGATTTTCATTACATTATAAATCAATTATCCATAGTACCTAGTGTATACAATATCGTGTTATCCATATCAAAAAATGCTTAAACCATGAAATAATCCAAGTCTTTTACATAGTAGATCAACCATTCAATTGAATTTTTCTCAACTCAAACCATGTAGAAGCAATAAGGCTAAATCTAAATGCCTTGAACTATATTTCAAGCTTACACCCGCATTCATTCCTCCCAATCTAACGCAAAGTTCCATGTAACTTGCCATTCATTTGCCCTTTTTGTTCAACTAAAATTGTACTCTTATGTAGTCCACGTCTCAAGGCCAAACCAAAATACTACTAAAAAGAACAGTAGCAAGTTCCTCTACCTGAGTTTTAACCTTCGAACACATGATTTAGAAGACAACAGCAAGCAGCAACATGTGAAATTTGACTTGAAAAGAAAATGTCCTGTGATCACCATGAACTAATCCTAAATATGGATGATGGCCAAAGAATAATATGGTAGGGCAGCACCAACAGCTGCACCAACTTTAATTATTCTTGACCAGTATTGATTAAATTTCTGAATTTCAAGCCAATTTGATATAATTGATCCACCATGAAGCCTCTTAACTCCTTTGAAGTAAAAAACTGGAGGCAAGGAAAACAAGGGAGTGACAAACCCGAGCATGGCCTATGCACTAACGCTGAATTTTCTTACACCGAAGGAGCTTCATGATGCTTTAAAGGCCAATCAAGTCTTATAAATGTTCATGGTTAAAACCTAAAAGAGCATACAGAATCAACAATTCAAGAAACAAGTAAATGAGGTATTTAAACAAGTAATACAAAAGTTTACTAGGCAGAATAAATTTGTTAGCCTAAGTGACTCACCTAATTCCTTGATTACACCACTGGGCAAGTATATTCTTTGACACGCCAATTCCAAACACCATGGAAAAGAGCCCGTCAGTCTCGACCGGTGAAAGCTCCACCCTAGTATCCAACTCCGCACGCCCACTCCCTTCGATCCTTCCATCCGGTAACCCCGAAGCCACCTCTTCCCTAGAGACCGATGAACGTGCGGAGGCGACTAAGCCCTTCTCCGCGGCCTCTCCAATCGCGCTCACCGGACGCGTCGGTACGACGCGCTTGTTTTCCGCGGCTTTCATTCTCTTCTCGGCAGCCGAAGCAAGAAGTTCCCTCTGCAATCGGCGATTCTTAGCCTCCACTGATTCTTCCGCACTTTCCCGAGGCTTGCTTCTTTTAGCCTCTGGAGGAGACCCTTGAAGGCTCATGCGCAAAGCCATCTGCAGCTCCTCCTCCTCTCTATCCGCCATTGAAAGCAAAACAAAGATACCAAGACCTCCCGATCAGAGGCTAAGCTCTTGCCGAAATGAATATAGGATTACAATAAAAAACAATTGTTTGAGAGTGGAAATCAGTGATCATGCCTGGAATGGTATAATTTAACCTTCTGACAAAAGGAATTCAACGAGTGCCAACTGCCAGATCAGGAAACCCTAGGAAAGTATCTCGGCATCCCCACAAAGGAGATAGCCGTACTAAGGGAAGAGCAGGGGGAAGTGCCTGAGATGATATAGAATACACAGAAAAATTAAGGGTTTTGCAAATGTGGATCTCCCGGCAGCGCTTGCGAAGTCCACTTTTGCTATTATAAGCTTCGATGTTTGCTTTAGTTATTAGAAATAGAAAATTTTATAATTCTGTTTGTAAATAGCAATTTTTCGGGTGTATTTATGTAATTATCCCAAATTTTTAAGATGAACTTATTTCCCTAAAAAAAAATGTTAAATACTTAAGGAAAATAAATAGGATTGAAAGGTAAGAAAGCAATGAAGATATTCAAAATTATAAGCATGTATCGTATGACTCTAAATATATTATATTTAAACTTATCAATATTTATTAATATTATTCTAAATATATTATCTTATCATTTATAATATTTGGTTATATTTTTTAATAAAATCAAATGATATTAATGTTGATGCTTGCTATTACTATCAAAGCTAACACCTATCACTAATATCAAGATTAATTCCCGTCATCACTAAAAAGGTTGACGACTTGTTGACACCAGTGATGATGCCCACATCGATCATTGTCATCATCTATCTCTAACAAGGGCAACAATCATCATCATACATAGAGTCAAGACGCTCAATCGACATTAAGATTAGCGACTAACATTGTCATCAACATCAAAAATGACACCCACCATTTTCATAAGGGCCGATAATTGCTAACATCGTTGATGTTGATCATCATCGTTACCACTATTGCCCATGATCAATACTAATGTTGATGTATATTATCAACACTAATTCCAATGCATTCCATCACCAATTAAATTAAAGTATATCATCAAAATCAACATTAATGTGCATTATTTCTACACAGGGCGTTGTTAGACTTTTAAATCATCAGTTCGCTTTCCAACAAAGTGAATAATCGAGCATATCATCAATAGTATTTCAATAGTAACTCAAGCACCTTAATACCTTAATGCCTTTACTTTCATCATAAAATTCATCTTTTATAATTCATTTCTTGAACATGTATTAAAGTCATGTTTAATTACTAAAAAATGTATGTTTTAACCTACGACAAATACTAGTGAATCATTTCAACTGGGCTAGATCCTTTAATTTTTCTCATGCTTGTGTTTACCATGTAAAAATCCCATATCTCTTTTGAGGTGTGCTTCATTTATCTTATTTAAGTGTGCATATGCCATATACAATGCTAAATAACCATCACCACAAGTGTTCCAAAATGGAAAAATATTTATACCTTATGCCAAAAACAAAGAAAATAAGAGAAGTTCATCTCTATCGAATTATTGCTACAATAAACTTTTCTGACTTTTAGAAAAATTAATAATAAAATATAATTTAACCTAACTAATAAAAAATTAGTTTAAGAGTTTCAAATATTAGTTTTGCACATGTCATAACATCTATGATAACAGCTCGAGGAATTCCGTAATATAAAATTTTGATTATCATAATTTAAACAAGTGCCTTGCACATCTTACACGTTTTGGTATTAGTGGGGCTGTGAATATAGCTCAAAGATTGTTAATGGTTTGAAAATCGATTCAAATTTTGACTCGAATCAAAATAATTGAGACGATCTATGAGCTGAAATTTGGATCGCATTTTTTTCGAGCTGATTTTGAGCCATACATGAATCTGTCGTAGTTTTTTTTTTAATTTATAAAAATTATATATATGTTAAATAAAATTGCATATGATGAATCAAAGCCAATTTTCAGCCGATTTCGCGATGGAACAAACCAAAATATCTCTATTTGAGCCAATCAATTTCAATTTTGAGTAGGATCAAGTCGATGCCGACATGAAACCGAATCAAATAAGTCAATTTGAGCCAGCTTGTTTCGATTTCGAGCTAGATTGAGCTCGCTTCAATTTTGAGGCAGCTCGGCTTGAAATCAAACATAATGAATCACGAGCCCATTTCCAGCCAAGCTAGGTCGGCTCAAAATAGGATCATTAACAGGTTTAGGTACTAGAACTATCATTTTTTTTTTTCTAGCGGATTGGTGCATCATACTTGATTTTTGGAAAGACTGATAACCAAAACCAAAAACCAATAATTATAAATTAAATACTAAACAGTAATAATCATTATTGAAAAAAAATTATTCAATGAAAATTATAGAATGCCACGTGATAGAAATGAAGAGGAAGAGGGACATGAATGGCACAAAATGAGAGTTCTGCTGACAAAAACCACTGAACAAGCGCAATAATACACTCCATTATTTTCGTTTTGGAGCAAGTTATTGAGCGATTATTAAGATGAAAAATATCGAATTCAACAACAGAAAAATTTTGGAAATCTAAATGGCAAACTCAGCCACCTCATAAAGGCATACATACAACTTGGCATGATGAAGTTTTTGTTATCTTTACCACCACTATAGGATGTAAAAAACTAAATATAATCATAATTCTTGATATTTGTTAGTTGAAATAGGGCTGGACGTAAGCTACGTCTGGACAACGGTTGTGATCCACCAAAAGGAGCAAAAGAGAGAAAAAAATGATCTTCGGTGAATCGCAATAATTGTCCGGACACGAGCTACGTCCGGACTCCAGACATAATATTTTTTTCTGAAGCAGGAGGGTGCATCCAACTGTTTTCTTGAGATTTTAACAAATTTAATCGATCATATAGATTTAAATTTATTAAATCTTACAGGTAACAGAATTTAATAAATCTAAGATGTAACAAAAATTAGATAAGGAATTAAGAACGGTCTCGATTTGCTAAATCGTGGACTTAAAATAACACACACACACACACACACACACACACAGGTACCATGTCCATAATTTATGAGATATTTTAAATTCAGTTTTACACTGGAATATGGTGATTCATATGATTTGTGGCTACCATGAATCTTTGGCAAGTTCTTCCATGGTTGTGCAATGCTCTAAAATGGATAAATCCAAGAATGCCTTTGCGCAATTGAGTTAGCCTCTAATGCATGACACTAATTGAGGAAGTGAGGGCTAACATGGCGTGGCATGTTTGATCCTCACTAATAGGAGAAAATATTACATCCGGTCAAATTGTGGGGCGTCACGTGTCAAGTTGGTCCCACCGCAATACAATGACATTTGCCAGCATTAAAAGCGGTGGGACCCACTTGACACGTGTAGTCTCCTTATTCGACTTCGGATGTATCCGAAGTCTTGATGTAATATTTTTTCCACTCATAGACTTGAGCTTTTGAGTTGAAAACTAGACTGTAAGTATATGTAATGCAACTGTAACCACCATTTAGTTAACTCTTTGCTGCACAAGCATATAAAAATTGAAATGTAAAATATTATTATTTTTATGTAAGCCCATGTTCATTTGAGTTGGATGAATAAGGTGATAGTGCATGCTTAAATTAGGTCCAACTGTACAGTAAGAATGGACTTGAATCATGCTAAAATTGAAAGTTGCCTGTATAGAAATGATCCAAAGCTAATAAATAATAAGTCAACAAATGATATGCACACGTTGTATTGATGTACCCGAATCAAAATAATTTATAAAAAATCAACTTCTAGTTCCCACTTAGACCTTTTTTACAAGGGTCAAGGTGAGCATTTAAATCTAGCATCTTCTGATTCTTCAATTTGTTCGAATCGATGTGTTACGCATTAGGCGGAACTCATCTTTCTCTTGAAAGGACTTTCTCAAGGTACTTGTGTTAAGGCACTTGCTAGAGAAAGCAAGGAAAAAGGTGTTTAAAAAAAAGTTGATGATCGATGAATTAGAAAGTATATGTGCACATAAAAATACGACAACGCTGATCTTGAGGAGATTTAACAGTCCAAAAGAAAAGAGTATTACAAAGAAAGGTCGACCGATAGAAGACAATGAAGTTCACTTGTCCGACTGAGTGAATGAGTCCGAACCAAAGACAGTAAGGTCAAAGCCGACCAAATCACAAGACAAGCCAAAAACAGTCGGAGGATACAAGAACGAGCCATCCGATTAGAAAGAAGAAAAAGAGGCATCCAACCCAACCACTATGAAAGAGCTGATCCAAGGAAGATTTGGTCTCCAAGCATCTTCAGCCATCCCAGAGACATCAAGAGGCCCCTCATCAAAGGTCAAGGATCGACTACAATGCCACATCCATTAAACAACCTGTATCAACTAAGATCAAGCGATCAAGTGGATCTAGACTAAGTAGAATACAATCAATCGAGCTGAGCTTTGCCGACCCGAAGCCAAGCATGCATAGTTGGTCGACCCAAAGAGCAACCAGATTATAAGCTCATACATGTAAAATACCAAAAATACCTAGTTTTGTCCCTTTTAAAAGAAGGGGCAAAAAATGAACATCATCACATTGTGCCCCTCTTTTATAAATAGGGAGGTCATTTTATGAATAAGACACAATTGACACGATGTATTACTGTTCACTCATTTCTTTATCTCATTGTCTCTCTCCTTATGATCTATTCTTTGGGCGTGATTCACATATAAATATAATTCAAAATCTTAGAAATGTTGAGCGTGGATCATGCTACAAACAAGAAGAGTACAAAGGAGAAGAAACTCACAATAGAGATATTGCAACATGGGTGCGTCAGAGAGTTTATAACTCAGCATGTCTAGAAGTTGAAGAATCAAATGTTATGACGCAGTAGTTGGGGGAAGAGAGTTGCGCCCTTGAGAAGAAGGTTTGGCGTCCAACAGTTGAAGTCCCCCGACCTTGGAAAGAGAAGGCATCTCCAGTGCTTCGATAGTGTTGGGTAGGCACCGATCGATCAACATTGGTTCGCGTGCACTGAGGCACTCTGACAACCCAATAATGTGTTCAATCAACAAATCTCTGAGGTAGAGTCCTCAGAAAAGTTTAAAATTCAAGTACTAGAGTCTACGGAGAGGACCGACCTGACCGACCATATAGCCTTGTTTGAGTCGGTCGTGTGTTTGTTGAGGATCAACAACATGCTGAAATATCATCTCTTCTTTACCATGTTGAGGCAGTCGGCCATCGAGTGGTTCAATGGATTACCCCCAAGAATATCACATCGTTCGCTAAATTTAAGAGGATGTTTATGGCACAGTTTGTCAACGCCCAAAAGCCTTAGAAAAACTCTCA